CTTTCCCTGCTCCTCAAAACACAGCTGCTTCATAGACACGTCAGAAGAAAGGTTTACCACCATGGAGAGCTGACAAGCATTAAAGAAAGTGAAAAACAAGTGCATAGCACTGCAGGCAAAATTTGCTACTTACCATTCTTAATGCTCTCAATCCGTACTGGGAACCCTGACTGCGCCGCTGCAATTAACTTCAAAGCAATATAAAATTGAGCAGGACCAAAATAACCCACACGCTTGGCTCCACAAACTTCTGTAATCTAAGAGAGAAGAGACACATTGTTGGTTAAACGCATTTCACTCTTCCCGGGAATATAAACACCTCTACGTAAACAAAGAAAAAAATTCTTTAAAAATGCAAAAAGCTTGCTGCATTTAAAGTTTTATATTAAACATATCAGTTTCAACTCAGGACACTGCTGTCTGATCACATTCTCCTGCGTATATCAGAGACAGGTAGTTACTTATCGTTCTTTTCAGAAGCATTATACTGGTTAACATTGCTATTGGAAAACAGTTCATGGGTTTTCATACCATGTATGATTTTAATAGCAGGTGAAACAATAAATTAAGTACGCTGTCCAGTAAAACATTTCCATCGCAGAAACTACGGCATTCACAAAAAGTTGTACTTAACATTAGCCCTCACAACAAGAATTCAGACAATTACTGTCACTGGAACGTAAATGCAACACAAGAAATAACCCCATCACACCGCCTGAGCAGAACACTTCATGAAAAACTAACACGGTCTCAGCACCGAAGCTTTATTTCTATACACGCTTCACTGTTTGCTTCATTCAGCCGCCTCTGTGAAGCCAACGGCTCCATGTCCAGGTGCTCAGACAACAGCTAAGCAAACAACAGCTATCAGCAGGTTTGAAGCACAGGCGCCAATCCTCCCAGTCACGGAGCTCCCAGATGTTCACAAACAAATCTCAGCCAGGCCCTGAGGTTAGAATGAAACCCTGTTCCCCCCAGCTGCAAAGGGAAGCCCCAAATTGTTCTCCTGAAAAGACGCCTGGATTAGCTGTGTCCCCTGGCTGGTGAGGTTCATCACCTGCGTGCAGGATGACAGCAGAGCTGTGCCGGTCCTTCACAGGTAAGTGCTGCTCTCCAGAAAGCCCCATCCGTAGGTGTCCCCCCCCAGCCCCAACAGCATGACAGAAACTACTCCCATGTCATGTGTTTATAAACAAACAGCACAAATGAGTGGTCTGATTTTTCTGATTTATGTTTATATGTATACACATACACCTACACAGACAGAGTGGCAAAATGTCAGCTGAAACAGTTACTGGAAAAAAAAAAAACAAACCCAAATGTTTTGGAATGGTAATTCTTACTAATCAAGTGAAACTATCTTCAAGCAATCTCTTTCTTCTCTGGAGTGGCTTCTGCTTTGACTGAACAAGCTCTGGCTTCCTCCTCTTCCTGCAAGTTTCAGAGATGCATGGCTTAATTCCTTGATCACAAGATGCATCAAGCAGCCTTCTTTTCTCTTACAGCTTGATGAAAAGGGAGATTGATTCTCTGTACGAGGACAGCTTCAATTAACCAGCAGCATTTGCCATTCCCTTTCCTCTACGTATCTTTTTTCTGAAGTCACACTGGCCTTGTTTTGTATCTTTTTGTCCCTCCCTCCTCCTCCCCCGTCACTGGCCTTACTTCCTCTATTTTCTGATGGGAACGCGGGGCACTTGGCATGTGCCTGAGATGGACGGTGCTGAAGCGTGATTAAAAATGGGACTGTGCCAGGGAGGGAGGAAGAGGTGGAGGGGAACTCCTTGGAGGAGAGCTGCACCCCATCTGGGGCGCAGGAGGGAGCCGAGCTCATCGCATCCACCTCGGTGGACGGCACTATGCAGACCCCAGTGTTGCAGAGGGCTCCCTGCTGCCATAGTGAGCCATCTGCCCACCGTAGGGTCCCGCTGCACCAGTGGGTCCCCCGACAGCAGCCTACCGGGGTCCCGTGGCAGGAGCTGATGCCACAGGTAGATGTCCGCTGCGCTGCTGCTGCCAGGACAGCCGGTTGCCGTACTGGCACTGCTTTGGGAGAGCTGGGAGAGCTGGGCAGAGCATCAGTACCAGTTCTCAACTCCAAAGTGGGTACTGGCTTCCTTCCCCTCCTCCCCAGACGCTCCTCATTCACGCAGCCCTGCTGCCCCCACCTCCTGCATGGTCCTTCCCCGCCAGCGGCCGCGGCTCTGCCTGCCACAGCGGTGCAGAGCACAGGTTTGACCCAGGACAGGCACAGAGCCTGCGCCGTGGCCCAGCCAGGTCCCCACGGGCACCACCACCCTGGCACGCCAGGCCCCGACAGCCCTGGGGACAACGCCGCCGCAGCAGGTACCGGCAAGCAAGCCACCGGCCAGGGGCTTGCTGCATGTCCCAGGCACACGAATTCAACAACCTGGGGTGGAAGAGCTGGAGAAGGGGCACAGCCAAGCTGAAATTCGACCTGGGTACACGGCCCTGGTTTGTTAAAGGAGAGGTTTGTTAACCAAGGCCAGCACTGAGTAAGGCAGTTTGCAAAAGCTGGGCTCCTGCCCGCACATCCAGGCCCTCCCGGGGAGGGGTGCCAGAGCTCACCTCCTGTGTGACCCACAGACAGTGCCTGGGGATGGCAGCTGCCACGGTGCAAAATACCAGCATGCAAAATCCCGGGGCGTGCAAGAATGGACCACTGGCCATGTGTACCCCAGAGGGATTTTTCTCCTCTTGGGCTGCTTTCCTGCCTCGGCATCCTACGCTTGCTGGCCCAGAGCAATGGGGTTACCGTGACCCGCTTCCTCATGCCGGCTGCTGGAAAGAGGAAAGACCGAGCAACTGGGACTTCCACACAGGGATTTGTGCTGCTATCATCATCTTCCTGAAAAGATACCGAGAGTTAATTTTCCATCTGTTTTTCTATACTTTGAAATATTAAGGCCACTGGATGCCACAAATGCCCTGCTTGCTTCTGATGTAGAAACACAGACATTATATTCTGATCAAGCAGACAAAATTTTTTATCAAGGATACACCGTTCTCTTAAAAATATGGTGGTGTTTCTCAAGCATGCTTACAACCGACCAACCTGAAACCCTCTCTCTGTAATTTTGCTCTTCGGTGGTAACAACAGAAAAAAGTATTTTATAGGCACGAGCTCCTCCAGAGCAACAGATGCAAGCTGACAGAGTAGCTAAATTTACTACATAATTAATTGTAGGTATTCATATAGATTAATTGCAGGTAGAGGCATTTACTCTCTTATCAGGTTCCCCATGCAGTTAGAGGAGAGGGACCTGGGTTCCCCTGCAGACAGCATTTCATACTACCGGTGTCAGGACCCTGCTTAGAGCTGCCCCTCTCCAGCAGCCACAGAAGTAGGTGGCAGATTAGCCTTTATCCAAAATTAATTCCTCAGAACATGCTGCCTGCTCAAATTTCCACAGCAGCTTAAACTGAATACCGCATTATTTTTTTTTTGTTTCCTGGTTTTACCTTTTGCAGGGTCAGTACACGTAGCCTCTGGATGGGCAGATTACATTTAGTGATAGGCAATACTGAAGTTAAGCTAGTTTGTGCAATACACTACTAAGAGTCTCCAAGATCCATCTGAATTAAAGGCACTGCATGTGAATGTGATACGGCATTTTTTCAAGCTGAAACTAGACTCTTTCTCTAATAAAACGGAGAGTACATTGGAACCAAGATGTATGAAAACACCCCCTGAAAGAGAGGGGAAACATCAGTTCTGCTTTCATTCAACTGATGTTTAAAAACAAATTCTTTCTATCCTTTCCTGTTGTCAGTTGGCTTGCATACTTTTCAGCAAACTAGCAAGGCAAGAATGGTATTTTCTATTTGTGCACTGCTAAACAGACACACATGTGAATCAAAACAACTTGCATACCTTGATATTTCAAGGGATTTTAATAGGAAACTATTGACAGTCAATTTTCATTGCAATTTCTTTTCAAATTCTTCAGCAGAAAACTGTAATCCTCCAGTGACAGCAGAGTACTGAAGAAAAGTTTAATGAAGATGGAAATAATTTTTCACGGTGGCAGGTTACAAATGTTGCTTGCCAAATCTAATCTCAGGATGATAAACAGAATTAGTCAAAAATTGATCTATTCAATAGTTTGCGAGGCAAGAACACGATGCTGAGTAGACTAAAACCGAGTTTAAATTTACTGCGAGGTGTGAGTGCTTATATGAAACAATTTCACAGGTCATTTGTTCAATTAAGGGAACAAGTTCATTTCACCCAACAGGTGAAAACAACCTTTCTCGGAGAAGGATGGAAAGCTGTAGTGTCTAATCTCGTGTTTGTTCTCACTCAGTCCTGGAACAGCACCTCTCAGTTCAATACGATTTCAGCAGGCAGCCTTAAAACACACGGTCTGTACACAAATTGCACCACCTCCCCTATCAAGCAGCCGTAAGAAGGGGAGAAAGGGCAAGATCTCGATGCCTGCACACCTTTCTGACAGGCCAGAAGTTTTTCTATGGTTGTAAAAATACACACTTTTTTAAAAAAAAAAAATAAATAAATCTCCAACTCATCAACATTAAAATTTAAAATGTAGCTACAAGCTGTTGGGAAGAGTGACTGTTTTAAATTACCATTCTCCATGCAACCTTCCAATAGAAAAGCTTTACATCTTGAGATGCTGGAACACAAAGCAGATTTTTGTATTTATTATCCACTCACTGCTCTGCTCTATCAGCCGACAGCGAGTGTTGTTTTTGTAATTGCTCCTTGAAGACGCCCACATGAAGCAGCTTTTCCCAGCACAATCTGACATTGTTCCAGCTCTCCCCAGTTCTCTCCAAACAAGTTTCCACTGCAGTCTCCAAAAGCATTGACCTCTCAAACACCCTGGGCAGGTCTAATTTAGATTGCAAGAGCTAAACTTCGGGAACTGAACATGAGCCTAGAAGCTGAACTTTGTTTTCCGTAAGTAGAAAAAGAGGTAAAATCAGAAACAACTATTCCATAATCCTGGGGAATGACGGCTGAGATGACCATCCTGCAGCCTCAAGGGAAAGGTTTTCAGCTGCAAGACAAAGGTACAGCTGGGATTTTTGCTTTTTCATTTAGCCATTAACGCTGCTACGGCATCCTCTGTATCTAGCTGGTGCATAGTTTTTGTCTGTTCTGCCCCCCCGTTGCTACCTGTCATGCAGACGGTCACTGCTTGTCATTTGTGGGCAAACCCAGCCCAAAGGTGCTCAAATCACTGTGCAGGTCGTGAGACTAAGGAACACATCTAAGCTGAATGCATGTTCCACTCATTCAGAAAAAAAAAAAAAAGAAAATGAGCATCCTATGTGCATCCATGGTTCCCACGTTAAAGGAAACTTTCTCGCTGCACCTTCCACCTCAGCCCAACCCCAGAAAGCACATTTTTTTCACTTGTCCTTGCTCAAGCTGTAAGGAGGTAGAAAGATTTTCCAGTTCACATGCCTCTGTGTTTTAAGGAACATGCTGAAAAGCTTCTGCTGTTGGCCAATGCACGCCTCGCCCAGCACTCTCCCGAGGACGACCAGCCGGGACGCCGCAGCTCAGACCTCAACGGCGGAGCAACCCGGGCTCCCTTCTGGATCAACCACCCTCTTATAACTGTTTCAAAGACAAATATTTGCAGCAGGGGCTTATCAACAGCTTATCGCAAAATTGTGTCATGCACCTGACCCACTTTACCCCCACCTTTTTTTTTTTTAATTTGTGTTTACAGAGTCTTTGATCTGCTTCTCACAGACAAGTTTTGCTACATTCTTAAACAGGTATTTCTTTCTGAAGGGATGGCTGTTCAGATATCTGTAACACTACCTGGAGCCCAGGGCTATGTATCTCTCTCCATTATTTAAAGCGAAGTAAGAAACACCGCATCCTGGATCCAGGAGGATTGCTGCCTGGGAAGGCAACGTGAAAAAGAACATCCCAGAGCAGATATGCACCCAGTGGTACAGAGGACGAGGCTCCACTATGGGTTAGGTTCTTCAGCTCTTCTGTTTTGTATCAGTGGTATTTCTGTACTTATTTTATTCTGTCATCTCGTCTTGCAGAACCAGACATTTTACCTATTTTAGATTTTTTTTAAACATCACCTGAAATGCCTACTGAAGTCTAGCTATTCTGAGCAAGCATGGTTCCAACACCCAAAACAAAAGTAGCTAAAAATGGCTTAGTTTATGGTATGTGAGACAACACATACATAGTGTATTTGTAAAGACCCAACTACAAAACATTCTCACAGTTTAAGCTCTGCATGGTCATCGCTTCACATTAAAGAACACCATAATTTCAAATTGCAGGGCAAGCTACTGATAAACTGCCAAAGCTTAGCAACTTCAGATAACACAGCGGTAAAGGCAGCAGAGAGCAACCACATCTGTTCGGCAAAACCTGCTGAGAGCACCCCCAGGGTTCCCCCAAACACCCTCCCCTCCTGGCACGACCCAGGACCATTCACATCGGCGTGTGCCGGTGCTCCACAGGCCATCGCACCTCCACATGTCTAGGGGGAAAAGCACTTCACTTCAGGAAGAGGGAAACACTTTTCCAGGCAGCTCCAAGCAGAACTTTTGATGCCAAGACCGAGGATGACGAGGCTTACGATTCAGGGCGCAGGCACAGGTAGAATCACGAGGAACAAAGGCTAAAACCATTTCCAAACCAATCTTAAGCCTCACACTGAAGCCTAACAGCAGAAGCGTTTTATATACTGGAAAAAGTTGATTCCTGAGCAGAGGTTAAAAAAAAAAAAAAAAAAAAAAAGCAAGCTGCAAACGCCAACTGTTTTCAATCAGTAAAGATTCTTGTGGGCAGGCAGGGCAGGAGCAGGGCAGTGGTACGGGGGCAGCACAAGGGTCGGCGAGTCTCTCTCTTGTACCCGCAGATGCCTACAGAAACTCAAGCACGCGGATCACACAGCGCTTCAAGTAGGAAGGCTGGCAATGCCAGCATACTGCAGGTTACAAAAAAATATTGATCTGAACCGTGCAGCTCCCAGAACGCATGAGTCAGCACTGCTAATCAAAAGATTGCAGCTATTAAGGAGTGCTGGCTAGAAAAGCTCTGCCAGGGAGTAAAGGCTGCTGATGCATGCTCCTATTTATAAGCGCTGAAGCATACCTGAAACACATCCCATCTCCTATGCTCAGCCTTTTGCCTTTAATATACAAACGCTAATGAATCTTTCATCCGCATGCGATGTGGAAAAGGTGGACACTTTCATCTCGTGTCCATCTCATTGGGAGGTTTAAGAATCACCACTCCTGAGAAACACCTGGAAGTCCCCATGCCAAGCAAATGATTTTCACGTCAGCAGTGCCTACAGAATGAGGTCAGAGGTTGTTACTTACGTTTGCTGATACCTCATTCTGTCTTTCCTTTGAAAGAAAAACCTAGCATCATCTACTACTAAACACATGCCTTTAGGAGTCTATAAAATCCTTGAGGGGTGAAAGAGATGAAGCAAATCCCTCTCAAAACCTCCCTGCCTTTTTCTCCTTAGTATTTGGGAAATGAATGCTCAGAGAACACCATTCTTCCACCTACAACTGTTCTAGCTGTGTTTCATATTCACTAGTTTGTATCAAATTAATATAAAAAACTATCCAGGTCAATAAATACAGCTTGTGCCAGTAAATTTGTACAGAATCATGAGTGAAATTTTAGTAAACCTTACCACACTTGGAACACAAAAATAAAAAGCCTGAAAACAGGTTAGTCCAGATTTAATAACTCGGCATAAGGACACCAACAAGCAGTAAGGATTTTTAGAAAAGTATGAGTCTACT